ATATATTTACTGGGTGATTTGAGGTTGGAATGAGGGATTTGAAGAATACAGGGGGATTTATAATTTGATTGAGAATGAACGAATAATTTTGCCATATAAAATCGAAATGAAATGAAAATTGAAGAGAATGCCTCAGTCGAAACAAATGGAAGCACTGACAGAATTGGTCGATGAATGCTCTCTGAGTCATGTTCGGCATTTGCAATCCGTCATCGAACCGTTCTTCCAAAAGGACTTCATTCGTGATCTTCCCAAAGAGGTACGTAAGTCTTCTCCATCCACACTATCATATCTATAATGATGTAATATTAACAATAATATATTACCACTTTTTTAGATAGCACTTCACGTGATGAGTTTTCTATCGGCTCCCGATATAGCACGTATCTCGTTAACGTGTCGTTATTGGCGTGCATTAGCAGAAGACAATCGCTTGTGGAAGGAGAAATGTGAGGAGATCAATGTAACTGAAATGGAGAAACCGAGGTGATTTCTTGATTATTCTGATGGTACAATATTGAGGGTGAACAATAGAAATAGTAAATGATGGAACATTTCAGTGAGCGGCGTAATGGTGCATGGGCCGAGACAGCGTGCACGAGTGGTATCGAGGTGGTTGGTTACCGTGCGGCACACTCTGATCGATACGCATTCGTTCATGAATGTCATCCTCATATTCATAGGTAACGTTTACTTAGTTTCATTTGAGGTAAAATCCTGATTTGACGATCCAACTCAACGAGAGATGATTTATTGGTGGTGATTTATTATAGTTGAATCTTGATTTCGTATCAAAAGTTTATTTTGTAATGGTCGTTGTATTATAGACTCTACACGGATGTCGATGATGGACCAAAGAATGTTTGTTTAGCAAGGTAAAGATCAATCTTATTCACTTCAGTCAGATGAATCAAGTGTTCATTGAATCAATAATGAGATGTGTGATCGTTAAGATCAAAATGGAAGGCGATGTATTTGCGGCATCAGCGTGTACAAGCGAACTGGCGGTCAAGACCGTTGACAGGGTCGTGTATCTTGAAGGGCCATGAAGAGCACGTGATCACGTGTCTTCAAATTCACGGTGATCTCATCGTGACTGGTTCAGATGATAACACTCTTAAAGTATGGTCTGCGAGTAAAGCCATTGTAAGTTTATGTGTTGACGATTGTTTTTGCAAAAGTGTCACCGTTTTATATGATCTCTGCTTGAGATTACTTCGAGTTCATTGTTTCTATTGATCAGTTCCGAAGTTGCAGTGTCTACAAACGTTAATTGGTCATACTGGTGGTGTATGGTCATCGCAAATGTCCGAATGTGGTTCGATAATCGTAAGTGGCTCAACAGATCGGACCGTACGTGTGTGGTGCGTTACGACGGGTTGTTGTCTTCATAATCTACAGGGACATACNGATTAAGGTGGCGTCAATTGCCGAATGTTGCATTGTGATTTGATGTGAATCGAAAGAGTATCACAAGTATTTTGTTTATTTAGATTGGTGTCAGGCTCGAGAGATACAACAATTCGGGTGTGGGACATCGAGAACGGTGTGTGTATCCGTGTTTTGCATGGACATGTTGCGGCAGTTCGTTGTGTTCAGTTTGACGGTAGTCGTATCGTGTCGGGCGCTTACGATTATTGTGTTAAGGTGACGACGTTCTTTTGCTTGTTCGGAACTGATTTCATCTTACAATTAGTGTGATACAAGTTGAATTAAATCGTTGTATCGTGTACTATTCGTTTTTCTTGATTCTAATAATGTTCATCAACAGATTTCTGTTCTTTAGACATCTTTTACGGTTTTGAATTTTAAGTTTATTCATGTTCATTAGTATTGTTTTTAACGTTATTATGATGATTTAGGTTTGGGACGCAGAAACGGGCAGTTGTTTGCATACGTTAACTGGACATAGCAATCGTGTCTATTCTTTATTGGTAAGTTTATATGAGTGATTAGTGGTATAATAAGGATAGATTTGAGTTATGAGTGAATTTCAGTTTGATAGCGAACGAGATATTGTGGTGAGCGGGAGTTTGGATACAACAATCCGCGTGTGGAATATTCGTGAAGGGATTTGCACTCAGACACTCATCGGACATCAGTCACTCACATCGGGTATGCAGCTGAGAGGGAATATTCTCGTGTCGGGCAATGCGGATAGCACGATCAAGGTCTTGTTTTGCTTTTGTTGTCGTTACGCTCTTTTTAAGTTGTAGTGATCTTGAAGGGTTAATATTGAATGTAATACAGATTCATTATTATTGTGGTTGTTGTTGTCATTGTTTCATTGTTGTAATTATTACTAATTTTGATTGTGACGATTTTAGGTTTGGGATATAACCGATGGTCAGTGTAAATATACACTGTCGGGACCGAATCGTCACGCATCTGCAGTAACGAGTTTACAGTTTCTTGAAAATGGTCTTGTTGCGACGAGTAGTGATGATGGTTCTGTGAAGTTGTGGGACGTTAAACAAGGTTCGTTTGCAGTTAGTTGCGCTGTTTCTTTGATGATCATTTGAAATATCTTTCGAGATGTTTGATTTGTGGGCAACTTATTTGAAACGGTATGGGCGATTCATCTTTAGAATACTTTGGTTGTGCTCATTCGGTTATAGTTTTTGTGGTGTGAACAGATATCTAGATGGGACAGAGGCAGTTCTGGGTTTTTTGTTGATATAATGTGTTGTTTAGTGCTGTTGTTAATGTACTTGTCCGCAATGAATGCAGGCAGCATTGAAAGCTGCGAGCATAGCGTATTGATTAGGCGATTGAATGAGAAATGAAGTGATAAGAGTGAATTGAAATGAAATGGAGTAACATTCAAGGTACATTTGTTCGTGATTTGATTCGGCTTCGGTCGGGTGGCTCAGGTGGTTGTATTTGGCGTTTGAAGTCAACACCGACAATGCTAGTTTGTGCGGTTGGATCTCGAAATGGCACTGAGGATACGAAATTGATTCTGCTTAATTTTGACGCTGATTACCCGTGAATTTATTTTATGCATCGCTCTTTCAAAACTTTATTTTTATTATTCTTGTCCTTATTGTCATTATTATTATTGTTATATTTTGTTGATGTCATTCCTATTATTATGATCCTTTAGTATCATCATTGTTTCATTTCATTCTGGTGAGTATTATTGTTTTATTATTATTATTATTATTATTATTATTATTATATTATTATTATTAT